AAGGGGCCCGACAATCTATGGGGCCCTGCAGGGGGATGCCTCTGGCAAAGGCGAGACCCTCAAAAGGGGACACCACGAGGGCTCGCCGATGCACTCCCGCACGCTGCAGAGCCAGAGGCAGGCGACGAATGAGCCTACCCCAGCACAACCCCAATCAGGACTCACGGCGCGGGGCCGCCCAGACGTCCGAGGTCCGCCTGGACCCCGCGAGTCGGCCATCCCCCAGAGCGCTCTCAGCAAGGCGCAGCTGGCGAGGGGCATCGGACAGCGCCCGAAGGCTCGCGGCGTCCAGGAAAGCCTGAATTGGGGGAGACCGGAAAAAAAACTCTAACCTCCAGGTCGCCGTCTGAGTACTCAAAAATTGGAGTAGGGGCCCGAGCCTGAAGGGCGAGGAGGGGGGCATCAGACAGGTGGCCCTGGAGGTGCAGCTCGGCGGCTCGGCGCGAGCCGTTCACTGCCGTCAGGCGCGCCCTCACAGAGGAGGGTCTTACTAGTCCTCGTCCCCGGGCTTGTCCTTCAGGCCCAGCCTCTGCACGAGCTTGGCCGCCTCGCGCTTCAGCCCGCCCCCGGGTGAGGAACCTGGCAGGTAGGTCACCGCCGTCTCCTTGTCCTTGCCGCCCGCCGCCAGCAGCGTCAGCTGCAGCGCCTCCACCAGCGTGTGCTGGCAGCCCTCCCACTTGTTGGCCTGCTGCGGGGCTCCGAGCATGATCTGCAGCTTGAAACGATCTGGGGCCTGCATCTTCTTCTTGCACGCCTTGATGCGGAAGTGGCGGCAGTGGGTGGCCATCAGCTCCAGCGCGTTCTCCTTCATGATGACCGTCTGGCAGTTACTCCTGAATACTGCCTGCGCCCCCTCGGGCGTCGTCTCCTTGCCGCCCGCGCAGGCCCACTTGATGAAGGCCTTGAAGACGTGGGGCCACGGCGGCCCGTACTTGCGGCCCTTGCCGTCCGCATTGCAGCTCTCCGCGCCCGCGCGCCCCGCCCCCTGCAGCACCTTCGCGAAGGCCGCGCCCGCGCCGACCATGCAGCGCGTGAAGCAGGCGCCAGTCACTTCGGCCAGTTCGCGCGCGCTGGCGAGAGCGAGCTTCGTGGGGACCAACAGCAAGGCCGCCAGCGCCCCGCCATTGCCGCCCTTCTGCTTGGACTGAGCTTCTTCCCCGAGCGCCTCCAGCAGGCGGGCCTTCTTGGCGTCTCTGGGTGCCGCTGCCCCGCTCTCCTCTTTGCGCTTCACTGCCCAGCTGGGCTCCTCGGGCTCCACCGATCAGCACTAGCGGCAAGTCCTCGAAGTGGACTCTGGCATGGATGTGAAGATCACCTTCAGTCGAAACTTGAGCCTCGCACGGCCGACAGTGGAAGGGGCCCTCAGGGGCGGCGAGCTCGAGCGTTGTGCTGAGCTGGCGCTTGCAGAAGCCCGAAGCGAACGAGTCCAGGACGTGGTTGCGCGCCGGATTGCGACTCTGAAACCTACTACCGCACACGAAACACGAAGTGCCCTGGGTAGCCTCAGCGAGCAAGGCCTTGAAGCCATGAGCCGCGCGAACGTGAACCTGCCACTGCCTCTTAGTGAGGAGCCATTTGTCGCAGCCGTCGACGGTGCATTGGATGCCCTCAGCGTGGCCTGCAGGTGCCTCTGGAGGTAAAGGAGCCTGATGAGGGTGGCCTGGAGGAGGGGCGCTGACGGAGAGCCACGCAGCCCTGACGATCGAGAGGTCGAGCTCAGTGAACCAGTCCCGCAGATCCCCCTCGTCGAAGAAGTCCAGTGGGGCACCCGCCCAAGACCGCATATCCTCCTCTATGTCCGTGGAGACCCTCCGAAGCGCCTCGAAGTCCCGAACGAACTGCACGGCCAAGGGGTTGGCGGACTCCGCGAGGTGGCCCTCGGAGGTGAGCGCGCGGAGGCCCCGCAGCTTTTCGATTTTAAGGTCGCCGAAGATGGGGGCCACTCACTCAGGTGCCTAGCAGGGTCGAGGGCCCACTTCTGATACCACCGCAGGCGACGGACGCGAAACTCCACCTCCAGCGGGGGGACCTCCCAGTACCTCAGAACGGCCTCATAAGGAACAGAGCGTGCATGTCCACCCCCCCAAGACGTGGCAGCCCCCATCATCGCCTTTCGCCCGAAGAAAACCACCCGTCTTGTGAGCTGGTCGACCTGGCTGGGGGTGGGCAGGAAGGCCTCGCAGGCCGAGCAGGCTGGACCAACGACCCTGGCCAGGAAGACGGCGCGCCTCTCGGTGTAGGCGATTCGCTTGGAGTGCCAAGACTTGCCCACGGAATAGAAACCTGATGAAATAGCCGCCATCCTGGAACTCAGCTCGGCCCGAAAAGAACAGTTGCCCATGACCTGGCCCCCGAGGTGACGAGTGGCGTCAGCAGGGACCCCAGCAAGAATGACCTTTTTTCAATCACCTCCCGTCGGCGAGCGTGCAATCCTTCGCCCACGAACGACAGGAGGCCAACGTTCTTGGCTGGCTTGAGGGCGTAGCCATGGCGACGTAGCTCAGCAGAAAGAAGCAGGTCATAAGCACGTGACCACCGTGATAGCTCCCGAGCCGACGGCTCTTCTGTCACAATCTTTCGGATCGCGTCGTCCACGTAGGAATGAAAAGCTAAGTCCAAGATGATATCCTCGCCGTCGCGGTGAAGGCTGAGCTGGCACCAAGTGGCAGACTCGGGGCCAAGCTGCTCGTACTGCTCCTGCACTGTCAGAAAAACTGTACTGATATCGCGCACGAATACTTTGACCGCCCAAGGGTCTCCAATCAATGCCCCCACACAGGGGCGAACACATATATCTCCGAACATCACTGCAGCAAAGCGAAACCTCTGGCGACCGAAGGAAACGTGGTCTTCCCTCTTGATACTCTCGTTGGCGTCCGTCAAGCTCTGCCAGTCCGTGGAGGCGAAGGCGTGGGTGATGTCCTTCAAGTCGGTGACGTGGTTAATGTTGAGGCGGCGCAACTTCCATGTGCAAAGCTGCTGACCAAGCATAGCCGTCTCGCGTCGCCGATGTGGAATACATCCGTGAGCGAACAGAGGCTCGGTGTGCAGCTCGGTCGTGTCGATCGCCGTCGCCATGAAACCTTTGCCGAACGGGTCGAGAAGGTGGATCACTCGCTTCCAGGTGAGCGCCATGCCCTGACTGAGGTGCCACACCAGAGGCACCTGGCCAGCTCTGCGAAGCCGATGCATGAAAGTCAGCATGAACTTGCGCGTGAACTCTAAGTCAATTTGCGGGATCTCGTAGCCAACACCATGATATCGTCGGGAGAGACGACGGTAAGGGTGAAAGACCATCCACCGTAACTCTAAAGGTGCTGACCAGGGCGGGCAAGCGCGTCGCTTAGGAGCTCGTCTGGTCCATCTACGAATCTCCTGAATGCGATTCTTTGCCCAAGCCAGTCCCTCCTCTGTCCACGGCGCAATGAAGTGATGAGCCTCTTGGCCACTGGTGTCATCGTAGACGTAGTCATCAGCCCCCTTGAGCCAGTCGATCCTAGCGGCGGCCATGCCACCGCGTCCTGCTGGTAAAGCCCAGCGCTCAGCAAGCTCCTCTCCCGTCGGTAGCGCAACTGGTAGGAGGAGGAGGAGGAGACACGGCACCCATGTGTTGCAGTCAACTTACGATTAAACTGTGTCTGCTCGGAATTAAGCCTTGCCTGCGCAGATTATGTTATGGCTTGCTGTGCGACTCTGAATCGCACAATCAAGATCCTAACAATTTCGTCGTATTGGGTCACGGGCGTTGCTGAAGGCGCCCCTGGCCCTGAGGTTCTCCTGCAGTCTCGACCTCCCGAGGCCGACAAGCAGTAAAGAAAGCATGTTTTTCGTAGTTTTCGGCGTCTGGGTACCCTCGCCAGGCCCCAAGACCGTCGAAAAACGATGCGGGACGAACAACGGTCCCTGGGAAGTGGTCCAGAACACCGGAGACACCGCATCGACAAAATCGAGACGTCGGAGTCTGGGAAGGCGTTCCCAGCTTTTCGCTCCACTTTGGACCCCCTGGGGCACTCTGGGCCTCGCGAAAGGATGCTCTGGAGGCCTTTGGGGTCCCTTGGAGATCCTAGGGACACCTCGGGCCAGGCACACACAGAACTCTGGCACACAGTAGAGACGAAAAGGACTGGCAAAAAGGAGCCAGCCCTGGGAGGGAAACATCGACCCGGCACCGACGATACGTTGCCGACAGACCTGCGGTAGGCGCCCGTCAGCGAAGCCGCACGTGACTGGGCGTGGCGGGCTGCCGAGCCCCTGTCGGCGATGAATGGCCGATCGGAGGTCGATGCTTCCCCCCCCGGAGCCCATCTCCGTCACCAGTGGTCTTTGGGCCATAGCTCGGACCTCTGGAGGCGTTCGGGAAGATGCGGGCACCCCTGGAACGCACTCGGCGAGAGCATCCCGAGGCAGGAAAACTGCCGAGAGCCACCGGAAACGACCGAAAACCTCGAACATCAAACACTCCCTGTGCCATTCCTCCCCTGTCGTTGCCCTTGAAAGCCCTGGTGCGCAATCAGGAAGGGGAGAGGGTCGTGCGGAGAGGCTCGGCGGTGTGGTGCCGCGAGGTCTGCGCGACACACGAGGTGCAGCCGAGTTACACTTTGACCCGACTGCGAAAAACTACCTAGGTAAGAGCGGCCACAAGCCGCTCGAGCGCTGCGCCAGCGTCTGATCCCCAAGACCTGGCGATACGCCCGTCTTGCCACGTCCACGAGCGGATAGGAATGCGGACTTGGAGTCCACCAGAACGCCGCGCTAACACCATCTGTAGCGGCCAGCCGCAGTGAGATCGGGGAGCTTCTACTTCGACTACGCTGCCTTCGATCCTCTGGCTCCTCCTCCTCCTCCTCCTTCTCCTCCTCCTGCCCCCCTTGTGACCTTCTGTCCTGCCTCTCCCTACACGCTAGCATGGCTGCTGGTGAAACTCTAGCTATGTGGTGCTCGCACTGCATGTCAACGCCATGCAGCGACGTTCGCAATGCCTTCTTCCCAGCTGGGGCCCGCTACTGCTCGCCCGCATCCACCAGGCGGGACTCCTCGTCGACGCCTCGCGCGCCCAGCACCGCGCTCCGCCGGATCCGCGCCTTGCTCAGGGCGAACAAGGCCGCCACGACCACCACGGCACCCGCGCACACCTCCCAGAGAGTCATCACCTGGGAAAACCAGAAATGGCATAGACATAATTTCTCGGAGGTCCACGCGGACTTCTTCGATCTGCGCCGGAGGCGCCGCCAGGGGGGCCAGCGCCGATCCAAGAGATCTGTGCGGACCTCAGAGAAATCATATTGATACCGTTTCTTGTTCTTCGATGGCCGTCTTGGCAGCAGGTGCGGCGCTGCTGGACTCGGCGGATCCTGGAGAGCGTTTTTGACTTACTCGAGATAGCGGCCTTCATCTGCCCTGGCCGCCCCCCCTCCCCCAATAACGTCACGATTCGTGCTGACCTTGCCAGACGGCGCCGTCGCAAAACGTGAGGTTACCGCCCCACCCAGTAACGCCCGTTATCGCCCGGGGAAAAACTTACGTAGAGGCGGCTGGGGGGCATGAACTGGATGGGGCCCTGAAACATCGGTCAGGAGGGGGGATGAAGCTAAATCCGCTCAAAATCTGTCCCCGGACCCCTCCCGGGGTCCATCTGGTGCAGTTTTTCGCCCCGGATTCGTTTCTGACGGTCCTGGGGCTCGAAAACGGCCTCCAGGGGCCGAAAAAGACAAAAACCCTTCTCGGACCCAGAACCTTGAACCTCACCCCCCGTCCTACTCGCCAGAACCAATGCTGGGCCACCTCAGATCCCCAGCCGACTCCCGCCCCCCCAAAAAAACAGTCTCCTGTTTCGGCGAACTCCCGCAAGGGCGCGCCGAGGCGGGGTGGCACGTCCACGTGCGCCTGGCTGTCCAGCCGCTGCGGCAGCTGCAGGGCCCGGGCATCCGCGGCGGGCTGCTCAGTGTACTCTGGGCACTGCGCGTCCGCGATGCCCAGCCGGCCACGGGCGATGTCGAAGATAAAGTCCTCCGTGGGGATCCAAACAATGCCCCCAAGAGGTCTCAAGATGCCCCAATAGGCCCCAAGAGATCCCCGAGGAGGCGAAAGACACTGACTCCGCCCGCCCAAGACGACGGCCCAAGAGGTCACCAAAATAGCTCCAAGACAGTCCATGAGGCCCCAAACGAAGGCCCCAAGCCGGCCCAAGAGGACCCCAAGATCGCCCAAGAGCCTCCCAAGGGGAAAGCGCTCCAAGAGGGCTTCGTCCCACCACTGGGCTGTTCAAACGATTAGCGCCCGTCATCTGTGCAGCATGGTACTCACGCAGTTCGAGCGAAACTTCGGCACCGCTCATGCGATTCACACCAGGCTGTTCTTATGATTAGGCTGGCCCTGCTGCATGCAGCTTCGGCACCCAAATCGTGTCACAGGAACGATTCACATTGTCGTAATAGCAGCTGTCGTAAGAACAGCCCACCGAATCATACGAGCGACCATCTCGTATCACAAGAACGGTTCGTCCGTGTCATACGAACGACTCACGGCATCGTGAGAACAGACGACGCTTGTCCCAAAACGGTGTGATGACAGACCGTGCGGTGGCCTCGCAACCTCCAACGACATCATCGCACGGTCCGCCACCGCACGATTTTGGGACCTCGGAGGCCCCAATTACCCGAGACGTCCTGGGAGAACGACCCAAGTCCCTAAATCCGTGCGGTGCCCCCGAATCCCCACTGACTCACCGCACGTGTAGTCACCGCACCGCTTGGCCCCCCCTGATCCTTGTGGAGCATAAGAGAGATGCCGATGACGGTCTGAAATATCGAATTCGCCATGAAGGCGCGACACCAAAGCGCCTTGTCGGCGCGCTGTTGCAAGTATCTCTGTGGCATCCAATCGACTCTCACGTCGCCCTCGAAGTGAAGTGCCAATGGTGGAAAACCAACAGGTCCTGCGTCCACGTCCCGGAGACGCCAACAGCGGTCTGACTCCTGCTCTGCTCCGCAGCCGTCGTGTTCCGCACAGTAATCCGTCAAGTGGCTCATCAGCGAGGAGAAAATAGCGTTTGGCAGGTAGGTGTACGTCGTGCCGCTGTCCACAATAGTCACTCCGAACTCCTCCACGCCCCGAACCACTTCGATTCTCTCCGTGAAATCGACGACGCTCAGCGCCTCGGGCTTCACGAAATAGTACTGCGTCGCGCGCATGTCGACCCACTGAACTGGATCGAGGAACGGCTTGACTATGTGGTAGGAGCTGTTGAAGCCGCCGACAGTCATGCGCCCGCCCCAGGTCGCCAGACATATCGAGAACACCGACGTGTCGATGTGTTTCTTGTCCTGGAACATCTGCTGCAAGATCGTGGGCTGCGAAGCCTTCCCCGTTGAGGGAGCGAGCCCCATGATGCCATTGGCCTGCTGTGTGTAAAAGAGGTTGTCCTCGTTGTTGTGGCAGCCCATCTGCACGCGCACCGCGGGGTTCTTGCTGAACGAGTCGCCAAGCTCCATGAAATCATCGAACCAAGAACCCGCAATGGAACTGCCCTCGGCGTACGTCTCGCTGTACGGGCACCGGCCCTCCACGCAATCCGCGCAGTCGTCGCAGCCGAACCAGCGGGCAGTTTCAGAAGCAGAGATGTCGAAGGCTGGGTCAAGATGCTCACCGCAGTGACCACAGCCGGTGCATGGGAAGCCTACCAACCTGCTCCCGGTGTCGACGATGACTGAGACTCGCTGGGGATCTGGCGAGCCAACCATCATGTCGGTGAAGTAATACGCATACTTGTTCATATTGCCGTACAGGCGGGCAGACTCAATCCTCACCTCGGGGTCGTATTCGAACCCCGCACCCCCGGTGCATGGGCGAACCCGTAAGGCCAAGAGTGACGCCAAGCCGACAGAGGTGTGCGCCCACGCTGCGGGCGGCATGGCTGTTTGGCCACAAAACGAGGCCCAGCCAAAACGGCTTTGGCCAATGTGGCTACTGACCCCGCCTCCTCGATCCTTCTCCCTCCCTCCTCCAGCCTTCTGCCTCCGCCCTCTCTCTCTCTCTTTCCTCTTCCTCCCTCCTCCCCTCCCTCCTCTCCCGTCCCTGCTCTTCCTCATCCCTTCTCATCCCTTGTGGCCTGCCGGAGCAATTCTTCGGCGTTGAGCTCTGGGAAACTTATGTACATGCCCATCGGTTCAGTGGGACAGGAATTCAGTGTAAGCATCAGCTACGTTTGCAGTTGACACGGCCTTCTAAATCGATGAAGTGCAGCGTCGTACCGAAACAGCGCCGAAAAGCCATTGAGCTCGTGAACATGGGCACGATGTGCATCGACGATGGACCGAAGCCAATGGTTTGTGTTTATGAGGGGTGGGGCTAATGGCAGTGGGGTGGTCCAAAGAAGAGTAGTGGGGTGTGTCCCAAAGAAGAGTACATAAGGTAAAACTCTCGTCGACAGGTGCGATGAAGAGGTGAGTTCCGAATTGAAGGAGCTGCCCACATGAACAAGCCCCGAGACAGCTTTTGCAGCTGAAAGAACCCCGCATAAATCAGCCACGGGTGCTTCCAGCGCGAGGTGCGCCTGGCGTGGGCTTCTCTCGTGCTGCTCGCTCCAGGCATGGCCACGCCGTCGCACGTGAGGGAGGCAGTGCAGAGCCTGCGCTGCAGCGAGCCACACTGCCAGTGCTGACCACGGATGTGCAGAGACAATGGCTTAACTTGGAGGCGGCCGGGGGGTCTGAACTGGTTGGGACCCCAGAAAGTCGGTCAGGAGGGGGGATGAAGCCAAATCCGTTCAAAATCGGTCACTGGGCTCCTCCTGGGGCCCATCTGGTGCAACTTGTCACCCTGGATCCGCTTCTGACTGGCCCAGGGCCCGAACACGGACCCCCGGAGGCCCCCCAAAACAACCCGAACCCAGAACCCAGAACCTGCCCGTCCTTCCTTTTGGCCAGAACCAGTGCTGGGCCATCTCAGACCCCCAGACGGCTCGAGCGTGGCACCTCGCCCCTTGAGGGGTCCGCAGTCGGGCGGCCCCGCCTGGTGAGCCGCCGCTGCGCAAGTTGCTCGCTGCCCAACAGCCACGGTGCGCCCTGCGCAGTCGTCTCCATGGTAGCGCAGCGGCTTGCAGGCAGCTCCCCGGCACGAAGCCTGGAGTGCTTGCATGCACAGAGCGCAGCGCGTACGGAGTCGACGCCTTGCACATCCTGAGCAAGCGCATGAGTCAGGAGAGTCGGGCGCCATCAGCGACGCCCTGCTGGAGAGGCATGAGCTCCTTCCCCGAAGGAGCGCCCCAGGCCCAGTGGAGACGCGATCTCGAGCCTCCAGTCCTTTGCGGGGGCCGACGCCCTCGCCTCAGACGTTCTAGTAAGCCCTTGTCTGCATGCTGACCTGATTGAATCCCAAGGATCAGTGCCTTCTCTGTCAGCGCAGTGCAGTGGCGGCCAGCAGGCGGCCATAGAAAGGAGGGAGTCCAGCAACAGCTGCAGCAGGAGCAGGAGGATGAGGAAGAACGGGCCGCGCAAGCAACCAGCATTAGACACAAGCTGCTGGGAATAAAAAATATAAGAAGCACGGTGCTTTTTTGTCAGCGATCCCCTGGGGGCCTGAACGATTTTTAAACAGCACGTCGGCCACGATGGCCGAAGACCAGCTCACCCGCTGAGCACGTCTGACGTACAGCCCAGCAGATGAGGGACAGCGGGCGGGACAGGGGACAGATGAGGCCCCAGATTTAGCCACCCGCCATCCACAAAATCTGGTCAAAATCTGGCCACGGTGCGTCGCCTAAAGGCGCGGCAACAGGCCGTGCCACCGCCGACGCTTCACGGGCCTGAATGCGTGCCAGGAGCGCCGCCAGACCTGCCGTCTCTATCAGCCCTGACGGCGAGAGCGGCAGGCTGACATCTGGCGGCGGTGGCCTCTGAGACTCGTAGCAAAAGAAAGCCACGCCTCGCCTCGAGGATTCGCTCACCGTGCTATTGTCACGATAGTGAGGATAGAGGCCAGCAAAGATCCTCCTCAGCACGGTAGTGCCACCCGCCAGTCGGCGCTGAAGGCACTCCTTGCTGAGCATATGACAGCGCGCAGAGGAGTACGCTCCGCACATGGAGCAAAAGAAGAGGGTGAGCCTCCGCTCACCTTTGCTTACAATGCAATGCGCCAACGAGTGCCCCAAGGACCGATCCAGGACACCACGCCACAGCCTGCTGGGTCCTTTACATCCCAACATGGGGCGCGCATCCCGATCAGTGGACAAACAAAGGCAATGCACACATCTGGCGCAGCCCTGACCTATTTCCTGCCAGGAATGCCAACCTCCCGATTTTAAAAACTTAGCCCTCGGTCCCAAGGGCCGACGCTCAAACTTTTCGGGGGGAAAGGTGGCAAGCACGGTGCCCGCCACCCTAGCAGCGAAAGCCAACAAATCACACTTCCTGTCCACCTCCGTACGTTCGTGCACACTGGGTTGGGGATGGGGGAGGAGAGCTTGCTTGGCAAGGGCGTCGGCTTTCAAGTTGCCTATGCCAATCCGTTTCTCGTGCGCTGGCAGAGCATCCAGAACAGCGCGCGCACGGTGCGCAGGTGTGTGGTGCACCGACGGGATGGGGAACTCATCATGGAGCAGGGCACCTCTCCGAAGACCAGCATAACGATGTTTATGAAAAACCTGGTACTCCCTCGTCGCCACACAGATGCGCACCACATTCATGCAATCGGTGTGGCGGTCTCCGCCGTTGCTCTGAAACATCGGGGGGAGGGCCATGCGAAGGTGCTCCGCAGCTTGGGAGGTCTGGGGGAGGACCGAAAGAGCAGTACCTCTGGCGTACGCACTAATAGTGTCGCCCTCTCCCAAGAAAACCCAGGAGTAAGCCGCTCTGGACAACTCCCTAACGGCATGCCGGTAGGCCGAGCCGTCCATGACGACATCGCAACCCGAGAGGTCCACAGAGCCCCAATCAATAATATCCCCTTCAGGAGAGTACAGGATGGGTTGAGTGGTCGAGGACGGAGGAGGGTAGGAGGTTTCAGGGTGCTCCCACTTTAACTCATCAAAGAACAAACGGTCCTGACCTTCAAGAGCTTCGTCCAGCCATTCAACAGGAGAGTCATCAGTAACACTTTTACGGGCGGCGACGGTGTCAGGGTGAAGGCACTGCCAAACGCGGTGCCGCACGCTGTCGGGCATCCCGCACTTCGGGCAAAGTCCGTCGCACGAGTATCCTGCGGCCTGAGCCCTCGCTCTGGTCCAAATCCCTTTGCGAAGCACACTCAGCGCCAAATGCTTCTGCTGAGGGTTGAGTTTCCTTCCCTTGGGGCCCAGCAAGGTTTTCAGGGGATCGACACAAAACCGAAAACCGTCGGCTCTAAGGGTGTCCTGACATAAAACCCGTTCATGTTTTCGTTGGACCGCCAACTGCAACATGTGCGCTAACATAGCGGGCGAGGTGTATCCCAAGTGCACCTCTCGACCGTAGTCGTCCTCAAAAGTAGGGGGGGTCACCGACTTCCACCCGATCCTAGCCAACGACAGGTGCATGCGCTGCAGAGGTCCTCGTGGCGAGCGCCACGTGACCTTGTCATCAAAGGAGACAGAACGCCACAAATGAGCAATCTCCTTGATATTATACCTAGAGACCGACGGGGTGGTGAGAGCCAGCCACGCGATCGACGCCCACTGCAGGGCTGGCGCCACAGACGGCCTCCACATCGGGTCTCCAAGGATCACCAGACGCGCCTGGAGGGAGCACCCTCGGTGCCTAGGGGGGTGCGACGACAACAGCACACGTTGAGCCACCTGGAGCTCGCCCTGACTCATCCCCACAACCGACGAGCCGAAGCTGGCCGCGGGCAACACTCCGCACGCATAGATCTTTCCCATGCGAGATTTTTTGCGGGGAAGGGCCGAGCGATATCGCATCAAAACCTTATGCCTCTTCTTCATGTGGGAAAACCTCTGTTTTCTTTTCCACAGACCATGTTTAGCACCTCGGGTCTGACCTGGTGCGAAATCCGTGCCGAGGGAGACCACGCTGTTCGTGACCTTACCCGCCAGCTGCCCGAGGTGCCTAGCAATCTTCTGGGCGAGGGTGCGGCTGCTGGCAAAGGTGCTGACCTTGTCGGGCTGAATGCCGACGCGCAGCTCATCCCTAAACAGGACGTACAGGCAAGCAGACGCCTGAGTGATAGTGACCAGGACCTCTTGCTCAGAGTTCGACGCTGTGACGCTATCATCATCGACATACGACGACAAATCGACGCTGGGATTGTCTTCAACAAACTTGTCAAAGGCTTCGATGCTGTAAACTCGAACCATGATATCATTGAAGATATCTCCCGCGGGAAGACCAGACCTGGCGAAATAAGGCTGGGCCCCGTAGCGGGCCCCCAAACGGAGCAAACGGGGGCCCCTCCAATAATTAAACGTCGTTTTGACAATGACCTCGTTAATACCGTAACGTAACGCTCTATCCTTGAGAAGGGCGAAATCAAATGACTCGTAGTACTTCGTCCCATCCCATATTATACCACCCGTTTCCTGAGACTCGAAGTGGGCCATCTCGGCCTGGACGGCCTGGTGCCACACGGCACTCTCAGCACTGCGGCCAGGGCCAAACGCCCAGTAGCTGCGAGGGTAGTTCGTGTTGAAATCCACAATCAGAGGTCTCCGTAAACGTTCCCAGACACGGACGGGGCCGGCGCACAGCAAGATGGGTCGAAGGCCTCCCTTGGGTTTTCCAAAAGAGGGAAAAGCAGCCAGAACAGTTGTTTGGGAAAGAGGCCCAGGGACTCAATCGCTTGGATTAACGCCCCAAACGTGTCAAGGGCAT